ACCCCCACAAAGTAGACTCTACTACACTCTACCATAGTTGCATCTTGAGGGTTCATAAATGTTATTGAAAAACACACCAATCGGCCAAATTTGGCAGAATTGCAGTTCAGCCCAAAATTAATCTCCATGTCTAGAAACAACTGTAGCTACTGTTTGCGTAAAGGTCAATTTATATGATAATATAAGAATATTTCAATGTGTTATGGAAATTAACATTAATTTCTCTGAAGTTATAGTAGTAAAACTAAAGAATGTCTGAGTATTAAAACAGATTGATTTCAAAATAATTGCAACTATTTGCTTCTTGATTTATAGCCCAGTCAATGAATACATTATATGTGATAGCTCTTAGATATGCTATAATTTTGAAGTGCTAAACTCTAGAAACAGAAGTGGATCATTGATCATCTTTATGTTTTACGTGGATTTTTCTTATTGCTTTCTACTTTTAACATAGATGAAATGCACAATATAAGTGCTCTTAAATAAAAGAAAGAAACTAGTTTTGATTTCACACTCAGTAAATACAGTTCACAGAAAGGAAATTAAAATTTGCCAGACTGGTTATGTTGCCTTTTAAACCAAAGACAACCCAAGGTATTGCGAATGGGGCATGACCAATCTTTTTTAGTTGCCACTTAGTCACAAACACTGGCCAAAATTCCCAGAAAAACAAATATGAACACTAACTTTGGCCAGTGTTTGTGACTAAGTGGCTATTAAAAAAGACTGGACATACCCCATTTGTAATACCTTGGGTTGTCTTTGGTTTAAAAGGCAACATAACCAGTCTGGCAAATTTTAATGTGTATAAACTAAAAAATTTAACATGCTATATTTGACCCTGTAACTTTCCAAAACACACTCAAACCTATACATAGGGGGTACTGTTTTACTCATGAGAAATTGCTGAATACAAATGTGTGTACTTTATCACAGTAATAGCTAACAGTATTATGATATTCACAGCTAAAATGCCATGCATAACTTAAAAAAAAAAAAATAACGCAATATCTTAATTCCTCACATTTTTTTTTATATTTTGTTCATATTAAATTATGTTTCATATATAAATATTTGATATTCAATGAAAGCCCTGTTTCTCCTGAACAAAATGATATATAATAAGTGTGGGTGCATTTAATATCAAAGAGGTGAATTCTGGCTGAACAAACATATAGTGCAAATTCAAAGTTTTGTCTACGTTTTGTTTTGATCACAACTTGTACAACTGCCTCAGTCCTTAAGGGTTAATATTGTGGCTGATCCTTTTATATTATATATATGTTGTGCAGTATACTGATTATCCAATTTTTTTGTCCTTTTTGGATTTTCCGAATATTTACCCAAATAGTTTTTATAAATGATGTTTGGCTGAACCAAACAATCAAATGAACGAGCATCAGACATCCTGAAAACATTTTTTTTTAAATGTAGCCTGCTACAATCAGTCTTCCCTGAGGTAGTCTAACATATAAGATGAAACACTGATAGTGATGTTATTTTATTTGACCTTATTTGTTCTTATTTGCTCATATTGCTTTTGACTTTTCGCACCATCCAGCTTCCCTATCCACAGTTGAGTGACCACACGCCTGGGAGGCGCACCGGGAGGTGTTTCCATTTCTCCCTTTTGTCCAGTGTGAGTGTGGAATCTGAAAAAAAGGCTTCTTGCATTACATTAAAAGTATCTTAAAGAGAAATTGATGTGAATTGTTGGTGACACATCTTTATTTTCTATTTTCCTGTGAGTGCATTCATAATAGAAGCTAGTCCTTACGATTTAAAGGACCACTCCACTCTTTCAACCTACCCCCCAAAAAAAACTCAAAGGTTAGTATATATACCCCAATGAATACATAAATGCATATTTGAATACATGTATTCATTGGGAGTTTAGTCTAAAATAGATTACAAAAGCTGCAGTTCTTATGACTGCAGCCTTTGTAAGCCCCTGCTCTTTTTTCCCAGAGTAAACTTTTAGTCTCTTCACCGGGAAATAACCCATCATGGGCGAGCTGGCTCGTAGTGCACGTGTACCGGCTCATGCACACTCATGTAACACAACATGCATGCGTGCCGGCTCAAGCACACTTGTGCACCGCAAAGTGCACGCGTGCCTGCTGCTTATGCACTGCTGATGCTGGTCTGAGGTCTGTAAGAAAGGAAGAGGGAGGCAGGCACACTCAAGTAGAGCGTACCTGCCACTTCCGTTATCTCAGGGGAGCTAACAGAAGTAGGAAGGAATCCTCCCAGGCTGTTGATTAACATGCAGGGGGGAGTTCCCCAGTTAATTTATAAAAGTGCTGATTTCTCATATAAATCAGCACTTTTATAAACTGGGGTAAATGAGGGTACTCCTCACCCATAAAGCACTTCAGCAAGATGAAGTTCTTTTGGCGTGTGGTGTGATCCTTTAAGTAAATGAGTAAAACAAGAAACAAAACTGAGTCACATTTTGTTCTTTCATTATAGAAGGGTGTTAGAACACACAGTTTGCTGCATATGGGGGCTACATAGCATAGTCAAAGTGCCCATGAATACTCCTGTTCACCACTGAAAGCATCTTCAATGGGGACATGAGTATCAGAATTGGACCATGGAGCAATGGAAGAAAGTTGCCTTGTCTGATAAGATGCCCTTAGAGGAAAAAGGGCTGTATAGCTCCTATAGGTTGCATCTGATGATATTTCTGAGATGATGAGACATGCCTTAATATTCTCAGGTGGAGATCATACCGCTCAGGCACAATTTTTTTAGAGCTATACATCTCCTTTTCATGTAAGTGCATCTCTGTTTCTCTTACACTTCTGATTGTATAACATACTACACTATATCACTTTCCCAATTTTTTTCTGTTATATATACAGTTGGCGATTATCCCAAGACCCTACTCCCAACTTCCTCTTTCCACTTTAACATATATATTGTTTATAGTGAATTAGCTTTGAGGGGATGTGGGGATTACTGGTTGTGTGCAGTGGTGTATCCTGGTTTTGTGCTGCCCTAGGCACACTCACATTAACCCTTTTTTTTAATTTAACCCCCCCCCCAGCCATTTACATTTGGGAATGCTGGGGGATTCTCTTTCTCCCAGAGGGTCCAGTGGCTGCTGGGCGGGGGGTGCTGGCGGGTGGCTGGTCAGGGAGTACTTCCCCTGAGCACTCTGCTCAGCTCCCTCGCGCACCGCCCGCAGAGTGAGGCTGGGAGCCGGAATATGACGTCATATTCCGACTGCCAGCCTCACTCTGCGGCGCGCGAGGGAGCTGAGCAGACAGCTCAGAGGAAGTGCTCCCTCGCCAGCCGCCCGCCAGCGTCCCCCGCCCAGCATGTCAGTTAGCCGCAAGGCTAACAAGACATTTGCCCTGTGCATTTGGGGGCGGCGTTTTTTGCCGCCCCCTGGAAAATGCCGCCCAAGGCAAATGCCTTGTTTACCTCGTGGCTAAAACGTCCCTTGATGTGTGTATTTTGGAAGAACATTTGGGTGGTAGCCAAAACCATTTGAATTTACACCAAGCATGTCTATTCTCAGAGGTGAGATTAAATGGGGATATATGCCAAACAATGCTAAAGATATATTAGCCACAACTAAGACAACATAGACTTTGCAGATCATGAGCTGTTTTGGATAATGGCTATCTAAAGACAACTGAAAAGCATGGATGCAGTGCTTTGACTTTACAAATGACTTCTTACATCCAGTCAGTATGTTTTATATTCAGTGAAAAAGTTGGCATCTGAAGAGAAAGCCAATAGACATTTCAACTAAACTGTGAAATACATTAGTAAGTGAGGAAGCAAGCATAGGTCCACTTGCAAAAATCATATGAATCATATAAATATTTACAAACTTTAGCATGTTTATAATCCCATTTTACTATACACAGAGAGTCATTGGCCCATTAAGCATCAAATGGGAACACTGCAGAAAATGTATTGACTGCTGATTGATTTTCATATACAAGATACTAACAACTCTACCATTTTACTGGTATTCTTGAAATTCAGGATTTGATGAGAGCTACCAAATTCACCAATATTTCACTAGCCTTGAAGTTGTATGAACATTGCTGTGGGATTTTAAAATAGTAAGTATTGATACTATTCTCAACTAATGGCTCATTTCCAGAGTTGCCATTAACCCCTTAAGGACACATGACATGTGTGACATGTTATGATTCCCTTTTATTCCAGAAGTTTGGTCCTTAAGGGGTTAAATTATAACTGTAAGCTGTTGGTATTAATAACAGCTGGTAGATATTTGTAACCTCCACCCATATAGATACTGCTCACATCTTAATGTTCACCAAATGTGTCATCATTGCAATATTGGAAAATAGACACATCTTAACCTGTGGATGAAAACTAAACTTCATCTGTGAGGGGTAGATGTGTGGAATATCTGCTTTTTGTATGTTGTTATACAAGTCCAAAAGCATGTATACTATATGTATGGGACTATTATTTTGTATTATGTTGGCTACCTATCTGTATGATGGTCCTGTAGGTTAACCTTTTGGGTTAATTTCTGTTATGTGAATTGTTTAACTGAATGACACATGTACTTTGCTCAGATAGAGATTTGTTTATGCTTTAAATTTATGTATCTGGCTTTTTAATTTATCTTTATTAATAGATTTTATAATTTGAGATGTACTTTAGGTTTTAAAAGTAATGCTATGTACATAAGAATTGGAGGAGATTCAACAAATATTTCACATTTAAGAGTAGCCATCCAAGTAAAATCATTCAAAAAGCAAGGTGTTCAAAAAGTATAAAGTGGTTCAAGACTAAGAAAAAAACCCACAAAAATGTCAATAAGATATTTTATTCAACCTTCCAGTAAAACTGTGCTTAATGTGCACCCATATCAATTTCCTGATTTTATACAAGGGGTGTGAGAACTTGGATTTCAGAGCTAAGAGATACTTTCTTAGGTGAATATCATTTTAAAAGCATGTGCACATTATTTAGAGAATTCTAGCGATAATGCTTTTCCCAGATGGTCAAATTCAACCTCCTCTGTCTTTGTAATCGCGTGTAAAATGTAGCAATAATCATTCTTTATGTAAATGCATAATATACTGAATACCCTGCAATAACATATAGTATCTTGTTAAATAGCATGATTGGTTGAATATACATTAACAACCTGCCTTTGATGTTGTGTTGCCATTCTTAATATCACCAGGGAGTTACCGACTGAAAGCTCTACAACAATAAAACATTACTATAAGCATATTTTTACATAACCTGAGGAATAAAGAGTACATAGAAAAATACATTTTAACAAACTGAACATTTCATCTATGTTTTTTTGTGTTTTCTATGTTTTCTCTGTTTTATTTAGTAAATTAATGAAAAGTGGAAGAATGCTCTGGTGGAGTTACGTATATTGAATTGACTGAAGTTGAGATAAATCATTTTGAGTACGTATGCTTTTTGACCCAGAAGCAAGTCCGCAAACATCAATTTCTGTTTCAACACATTCAATATATTTATTTTGTGAGGATTTTATTATTTTTCTCTTAAAAAATAAATAGAAATGTTGTAAGAATTACCAGATATGCTTAGATATTTATCATTTGTCAAAGGTACTTTAATGAAAATCTCAATTGTGCTGCATCATCTATGTGCACGTTTTTAAGAACTTATTTACTTGATAATTGCTAAATATGTACAGATAGTAGTGAGATAAATAGAGTTTTAATTTTGTCAGTGAGATATTGTGCTTCGGTATTTACTCTTAAGTACGCTAATAATTATAATTATTTTAATATAAGCTAACGTAAGCCTTTTATGCAGAATTATTTTCCAGATATCTAGATATTGACACTTTATTTATTGCTGTGTTTTTATAAATCTTTATAAACATGATCTAAATATATTTGATGTAACTTACCTATATTATGCAAGTTTAAACTTTTCTTTGAAAAAATACAATATTGTCTTATTTATTTATTTTTTATCACTGGAAACTGTATAGTCACGGAAAACAGCAATGTACATGTGGGTTTTGTTAAAACTACATGAACGATCAGATGATTTTCCAAAAAAAGAAAACTGCATAACATAAAATTTTATTTCTTTAGGTAAAAATATTTAAAATAATGTCTGGTTGTTTTTTTTTGACATCACATTTCTATTCTTTATTATGTTTCCATTTTACCACTGCATGATTCTTTACTACTAACATAAGTCCAGCACATGAGTATACAGGTTTCAGTAGGCACTTTAGTGGATTTAAGAAAATCTACCTCTCTTTCCACCATGATGCCATAATATCACCTTTCTCCCAAAGTGTTACATCAATAATTTGTAGGTAATAAACCTGAGTTTTTCTCAGTTTTAGTGAAAAATACCAAAAACAATTATTTAAATATCTTTGCAGATTTTATGTCTCTTTTGTAAAACAAACAAGCAAAGAAAACAACATTATGATAAATATTGAAGAATTTTAATATAAAATTGTGTATTTTACAGTCTTAAATAAAGCTTTTGATCATTAATGTTTTTTTTCTGCAGGTTAAGTGATTTTGTCTTTGTTGAAGGTCTCTTCTCCAAACATTTCTGCCAAGCTTTTAAAACGAGGCCCCCAGTCACTTAAAAAATCATAATCTTGATCTATTTCCACACTTAGTGATTCAATTGTACTGAGAGAATCAGCTACAGATCCAGAGCCTTCATATGCATAAGTTGCTAGTGAGTCATATGGTGGAGCACTTTGATCCACATCATGCTCTTGAAGCCTTTCATTGATGAAATCTCTGATGTCACTGTTATATTCTGCTGGTGGTTTTTGACGAGGCAAACAAATAGGTTCTGGTTTGATGTCTCTTCGAACTTTATTATCTTCAATAACCTTTGGATTTCTGAGAGCACCGATATCAAATGCTTGCGTGTCCTCTTCCCCACCTCCTTCATCATCATAATGAATAACATTGTCTCTTATGTCTTCTTTCGATGTCATTAGGGCATCTTTCTTTTTTTGTCTTCTTAATGCTACATAAAGTACCACTATAACTAAAAAAAAAAGACACAAGATATTTCAGAATCATCAACAATACAAAAATTAGCTATACTGATTCCTTGAATTTGCTTTGGACACATTGACTGATGACATTCAACTGGTCAACACAGGGTAGATCATAATATTTAACTCAGCACAAGTCTTCGCTTGGACTCTAGACCAAACCATAGTTTATGACTATTAAGGAGTTTAAAGGGTTACTCCAATCCTGATTTAAAAAATAAAATACATATATATATATTATAAATGTCATATGGGGCATAACTATTTGATCCACCCCCCCAGTAAAAAGCTGTCAAAAAAGATTTAAACTTGCCCTTAATCCAGTGGCGGAAAAAGCTCCTGGCTCTGCTCTTGCATGCCCTGTTGTGACGTCACCAGGCATTTGCTCGGTCCTATCACAGGCTCCTCAAAGAAAAGCCTGTGACTGGACAGATTCACCAGCTCAAAGCACATGTGAGCACTCTGAGTGGGAGGAGGCGGGAGGGAGGATTTCTCCCAGTTTTCAAAAGGGAGCCAGGAAGGAGATGGCAGCTATCTTACCCTTGCAGGCACTCTGCTTGCAAAGGGACATTTTTATGTCTGTTGCCAGTGTAATGTATGTACTAGCCTCAGTGTAATGTATGTACTAGATTAAACTAACCCCAGGATACAATTAACAATATTTATATGTGAAGTTTTTAAAGCTGAAAAACTGCACATGCAAACTCCTACCACCATGAACACTTTAAATCACTAAAGTGGTCATGTTGGTTGGGGTAATCATTTAATGTAGTGGTTCCCAGACTTTTTAGGTTCAAGGTGCCCTTAATATTTCAATATTATTCCAAGGCACCCCAAGTCAAAATAATTTTCTAGGTTGTATATATGTACAGCGCTGCGTCATATACTGGGCCCCTAATCTAGGGAGTGGCACTGGTAGATTATTTAAAGAAACAATCCAGGCACAATAGCCACTACTTTACTTTGTAGTGGTTATTGTGCCAGTAGTGCCGTAGTGCCCTCCCAGGGTAAGTAGTCAAACTGTTTAAGAACAGTTTGACAACTTACCTGGGGTCTGCCGGGGTAGGGGCTGTAGTGTGTGTTTATGTTTGTGTGTGTGTGAGAGAGGTGCAATATGTGTGTGTGAGTGGTGGAGTTTGTATTTGAGGGTTGCAGTGTGCGTGTGTGTACAAGGGTGCAGTGTGCGTATGTGTGTGAGGGATGCAGTGTGTGTACAGGAGTGCATTGTGTTTGTAAAGGATGTAGTTTGTGTCTGTGTTTGTGTGTGTGTGTGTGTGTGTGTGGTTCAGTGTATGTGGGGCAGTTTGTGCTTTAGGGGTACAGTGGGTGTGTATGTGGGGCAGTGTTTATGGGGCAGCAATTTGTGTGTATGGGGTTAGTGTGTGTGTGTGGGGGGGCAGTGTGTGTGTGTATGGGGGAGTAATTTTGTGTATGGGGTAACTGTGTGTATGGGGGTAATTGTGTGTGTGGGGGGCAGTATGTGTGTATGGGGGTAGTGTGTGTAATGGGGTAATTGGGTGTATGGGGATAGTGTGTGTGCATGGGGGTAGTGTGTGTTTATGGGGATAGTGTGTGTGTGTGTGAGGAGGCAGTATGTGTGTTGTTTATGAGGGGCAGAGTGTGTGTATGGGGGCAAATATGTGTATGGAGGGTAGTGTGTGTGTCTGTGTCTATGGTGGATAGTGTTTGTGTATGGGTGGCAGTGTGTGTGTATGGTGGTAGTGTGTGTGTGTGTATGGGGGATAGTGTGTGTGTGTATTGTGTGTATGGGGTAGTGTGTGTGTATGGGGTAGTGGGTGTGTGTGTATGGGTGGCAGTGTGTGTGTATGGAGGTAATGTGTGTGTTTAGAGGGGTTATTGTGTGTATGGGGTAATGCGTGTGTATGGGGGATAGTGTGTGTATGGGGGCAGTGTGTGTGTATAGTGGTTGTAATTGTGTATATGGAGGGTAGTGTGTGTATATGGAGAATAGTGTGTGTGTATGGGTGTTAGTGTGTGTGTATGGGAGTATATTGTGTGTATGGGGTAATTGTGTGTATAGGGGGTTTATTGTGTGTATGGGGGTAGTGTGTATGGGGGCATTGTGTGTGTGTGTGTGTATGGGGGCATTGTGTGTGTGTGTATGTTGCTAATTGTGTGTAGTGGGGTAATTGTGTGTATCGGGGTAGTGTGTGTATGGGGGGTAATTGTGTGTATGGGGATAGTGTGGATAGTGTGTGTGTATGGGGTGCAGGGTGTGTGTGTGTGTGTGTGTGTGTATGCAGGGGCAGTGTGTGTGTATGGGGGAGTTATTGTGTGGTGTGGTGTCTGTGAGGTTAGGAGGGCACATTAATTAATATATACTTTATTTTTTCTAAATGAAAAATAAAAATTATACCCCCCCTCCCTGCTTACCTTTGCCTGGGAGAGGGGACATTTCCTGTAATCCCTGGTGGTCTGGTGGGGAAGCCCTGGTGGTCCCAGTGGTGACAGTGAACTCTAGCAGCCTCCCTCCCCTGCCAGCTGTCAGCAAAGTGCTAGCAGGATGGAGAGGGAGATCGCTGATCTCTACTCCGGTCCTGCAGAGTTGGCAGGGGAGAGCACAGTTTCCGGTTCTATGATTATAGCACCGGGAAAATATCTTGCAGCACACACAGTTTTGTAATCCCTGATTTAATGTATTCACTATTTGCCAAGAAGCTTATGTTTGCCCTAGTTGTGGTGATAGGTTCCAGAAAAACCTGCCCTCATGTGACAGTCCAAATCTTGACCTCATAGAATGCAGATGACCACCTACTTCACCATATCCCTATATGGCCCTATGTTTGTCTCTTTTGAATGAGGGTCACATGGTCCTCTAATCTACATGTGATCACTATGGTAATCATCATTATCTGCCCAAGGTTACCTTTTTGCAAAATAATGTAATCTCTTAAAAGTGTATAAATTAAACAGTATACAATTTGTCAAAGCACATATATTGATGTTTAAATGCAGTAAGTGCAAAAATAATAAAAAGGCTGTAGTGCTAAGCATGTGAAATAGATTATCAGCTAACAAGTTAATTATATTACCTTTCTACCTCCTTATTTCCATTATTAAAGAAACATATTAATAACTATTTTTAGAGCATAAATGGTTCTAGTATGCCATTCACTTATTCCAGCATATTACAAGATCTTTATATTAAACACTGCAATAAGGGCTACTGTCAAGCCATGTGAAATTCATGACTTTTACTAGAAGGTCTAGCACAGTTATTAAGTTTAATATGGAAAGGGTGATTAACTATAACATCTACCTTTCACAGGTCACATCACTACGGTTAATCTTCTATAAGCGAGACATAAATTGTATTACGGTCTTTTCTCAGCATTCTCTTATCCTTGGGGAGATAA